AAATACAATAATTGAAATCATATTCAAAAAAGATACAGTAACTAATAATAACAAGGCTTATGCTCATGCAACATGCTATGCTATATTATCTTTGGAAAATAATTCAGTTAAGCTAGATAATAAGTATATGGAAAACAAGATGGCAGAATTTATGGTATAGTATATTTTAGAAATTTTAATTTTTTTACTTATTAATTATAAATTAATAATAATAAATTTTTTGAACTAGGGTGGATATTCAAGTAAAAGTGATAATTCTAATGAAGATTGAGATATAATAATAGTTTTTGTTATAGCATCAAGATTAATTAGTTTATTAATTTTTATATATAATTTTTTATAATAATAATTTTGTATATATAAAAAATTATATTAATTAACGAATATTGAATAAAGAGCTTTTGTGAATTTAAAAAATATAACCAATACTAAATTAAGTAATAATAATTAAATATAATATTTCTAATTTAATAGCATAGTATGAGTATTATATTTTAAATATATAAAAAATCTACATAGACATAGTATAGATATTACTACTTTAAATACATACAATATATATAAAAAATTTATATAGGCATAGTATAGATATTGCTACTTTAAATATGTGTAATATATATATATAATCTACATAGTATTCCTGTATATAGATTATATTGTAATAACACGTAAGATTAATATGTAGATATGCATAAAGTATATATATACTTTCTATATACTTAACGTAGTTTATACGTAGTAAAACTATACAAATTTATGTAGTATTTTTACATATAGATTTCATAATAAATATTTGATGATGTATCAAAATTGACTGGTAAATCAAAATTTTTTGAATCAATCATTAGTGGAATAAAATTAATCATATCCTGATCTTGTGAATCTGTGGATGATTTTCTTAAACTACTTAAAGATTTACTTAGTATAGAAGAGCTATTAGATTGTTCTTCTTTTAATATCATAATATTATCTTCATCTGATGGTTAATATATGTCGAATGAATAAGTTCTCTCTAAAGTTTTATTAATGTTCATATTATCATCATCATTAATAGATGAAGGTTCTTTAAATTTTCCTTTAGCCAATTGTCTTGTGATTTGTTTTTGAATATCAAAATCATTGTCTA